ATAGGAACAGGTACCTTTTTTCTCAAAGTTTGGGAACTCATCTATGGCACTTAAAAGAGAATTATATTCCTGCTATAGACTCCTACAGAGAGATGCAACGTGCCTAAGAAAATATCTCCTTTCCTTTGCGAGTCTTGGGCTGTCTAGACTGATGTCTAGAGAGACCTCTTATATTTTGCTGGAACTCATTTGAGTTTCCCCCCCTGTCCCATGAAATCCTAAAGGGCTTTTCCATCAGGGGGCAGGAAGCGACTACACCGATGGGAAAAAATAGCTAAAACAAATGGCTTGTCGCTAGCATCAAATGCAACGATGCTTTTAGGAGATGGACGTGCCCCTTAGGGACTCGACTGATCAGAGGCCAATGCATTTCACAGAGTCCCCATGGCAGTGACTTACTACCGGGGCCATGACCGATGGCACTGCATCCCCAGCCGTCATCAAGTCCATCGAGGGAGTTGTTTCCAGTTACGGCGTCACTGGAGAAACCCTAGGTAATGCTGCACCCTTTGGAAAGATGATAGGGTTGTTCCAGCTCAACCATTGTGATGCCTGGGAAGAACTTACCTACTGTTTAAGGGCTGAGTCCTTTGGTGGCTTTGGATGCCACCTCCTTACCCAGCTTGCTTGCACTTCTGCGTATGCCCTTTGGGTGCCGGGTGGGACGACCAAGCCCAATTTGGGGGTCAGAGGAGCCACGGGTTTCCAGGATACACCCCCTCCTCTCAACACAGCATTTCTTAATTGCTGACCTACCCCACCACTGTTTTTGGCACCTACCTGGCATCGGATCCATGCCTCTGGTTACGCTCCCAACAACTTAGGGGCTGAACATGTGTCCCAGCTAGTCCATGCAGCCTCCGTGGGGCAGCAACATGGAAAAACAGGATGAGAAAAAGAGTTTGGCTCTCCGGGCCGGCACCACGCACCTATGAAGAAAGGTCTCCAGCTGGTCTGTAGTCCCGTGGCTTCGGGGGCTCGCAGGGGGATGTGCTGTGGCTGCTGAGCCTGTTGTGCACCCAGGAAAGATGCATGTGAGCTGCCCGCCGTAGCAGGCAGAGGCAGCAGCACGGGCCTGGGTATGAAGGTATGTGCTTCCCCCATCTGTGGGAAGAAATAATCCCAGGGCATTAGCACAGTCAGGCTTTGTCTCCAAGGACAAGCTCCATGTGCTGGGAGGGGGGCGCAGGGAGCAGTGTCTGGCGCTGCAGTCATGGGAGGAATGAGTGGTGGGCACAGGGGCAGATTGAAGCCCCCAGTAGGATGGAAGATATAGGGGGATGGCACTGGGCATGGCCGCAGGTGGAGCTGGCCCCACATCCTCCCTGCCTAGTCCATCCTCACCCTGTAGCTGAGGTTCATTCCTCCCCGATGCACAATGCTGCGAGGGGTCCCGGCTGGCACAGGATGGGCCGATGTGCCGCGGTGACGATAGGCAATGCTCTCGGGACCGGGCTGCTGTGCTGCAGGTCACACTGATGGCTTGATTCAGGCTCGGGGAGGCAATTGCCCCCAGGTCTGTTTGGCTGGCACCTCGCTGGGGGTCTGGGGGGTCCCTCCTCTGCAGCACGGGGCACGCCAGGCTTGCAGCCGCTGCATCGTTTCCCCTCACCAATTCGCAGCCATGCTGGGGGGTGCGTCAGGCGGTGTCGCTTTGCGTGGGGAGGACCGCCACGTTTGCTCCGAGGCGCTGGGTTTGTCATAGCTGGGTCCCATGCCAGGGCCTGCGAGATACTTGCTGGCTTTCACTTCTGTGGGGAAAAGCCAAGGACTCAGCCCTTCCTTCAGGGTGGGAAGGAGCACGTGGTCTTCCTCCTTCCCGCCTCGGAGAGCCCATGCAGGGGAAGCAAGGCAGCCATCGCCATTGCCCCTCCAAACACCAAGGGAGCGGAGGGCCGGAAGCGGACGCAGCCCCCACGAGCGGGGAGGGGGAGAGATGCACGTTACCGGGGCAGAAGGATGGGACCGGGGTCAATGCTACAGGGCGACGACCACTGCCGACACAAGGTGCACGTGGCCTGAGGGTTGTGGGCCTGAGGTGAAGCTCAGGGCTCCCCTGCAGCTGCTACGATCCTATCAGTCACGTCCTGGCCATGTGGAGCTCCTCTGCCTCTTTCTAGGAGAAAAGAAACCCCCTCCCAAGATGCACGCGGGAGCCTTTGCTTTCTGGCACCTAGAGGGGCAAATTCCCTCTTTTTCCGAGCCTCCCCAGCCCCGTTCCCCGGCGCTGTCCCAGGATTTTGCACTGGGGCAGACAGACCCGCTCCCCTCCTCCCTGCCCATGCCCTGGCCCCAGGGGTTCAGCTTCTGGTGCCGTAGCCCCAGGCCGACGACCAGAGCCACGGTGAGTTGTCAGCATCAGCTTCGTCCGCGATGAGCTCCCCTCGCCCTCCTGAACTCGGCACGCTTGACTCCGCGCTTCCTTAATGGAGTGATAGGGAGAGGGAAAAGGTGGGCTTAAGTTAGTAATAACTATTTCTTCCAGTACCCAAAGACCTGCGAGGGAGCCAGTTGGGTCTTTGCATGATCAGGCTGTAGATGGAGTGCTAAACAATGCCCGGATCATTGCCCGGGAACTAAATACACTCTTTGCATCTGTCTTCACGTGGAAGATGCAGGGAAATTCCCTCCCCAGATCCATTCCTGTCTAGGGACAAATCAGTGGTGCTGATCCCAACAGAGGTTTCAGTAGAGTTGGTAGAGCAACCCGGTACACTGAACAGTAGCAAGTCATCAGGACCTGGCGGCATTCATCCTGAGGTCCGGGTTAGAAATTGTTGAACTCCTAAATCATCACTAAAAACAGCCTCGGTACCAGAGGACTGGAGGGTTGCCAATGTTACGCCCATATTTTAAAAAGGTCTCTAGAGGGGATGCCGGGACCCTAACTTCTGTTCCTGGAAACCCTGCAGAAACAATAAAGAAAGACTTGCTCAGCATGTGGGTGAATACGACTCGCTGGGGAGGAATCAACGTGGCTTTGTCAATGGGAAATTGTGCTTCATCAACCTATTGGAGGGTATCAATAAGCAGATGGATCAGGGCCAGTTAGTTGACATAGAAAGCAGAAAGTGAGTATAAACGGTCAGTTTTCATCATGCAAAGAAGTGAACAGCAGGTCCCCCAGGATCAGTGTTGGGACCAGTGCTCTTGAATGCATTCATAAATGATCTGGGAGAGGCGGTGAGCAGTGAGGGGGCCAAATTTGCCAGTGACACCAAATTATTCAAAGCGGCGAAGGCGGGCCACGAAGAACTACAGAAGGATCTGGTGCTGTTGAGCAAATGGGCAAGGAAATGGCAAACGCAACTCAATGGCGGTAACGTGTGCAGTGCTGGATTATGACATGCTGAGGCCCTAAGCTATGTCCATTATTAATCCTACGATAAAAATAATCCACGAAAATGGATTTTCATGAAATCTGAAGATGAATTCTTGTTATTTCTGCACAAGTTTATGAGCTCAATATGAATAATAATTGCGGAACCATATATATATATATATATATGTGTGTGTGTGTGTGTGTGTGTGTGTGTGTGTGTATGTAGCTTTTTGTCATATTAGAACAAAAATGTCGAGTTTTGTTTTTCTCTTATTTAGAGGCCCCTCATATTGTGAGGCCCTAAGATGTAGCTTAAGTATCTTAAGCCTAAATCCAACACTGTATGTGTGAAGGATTGCACCCAGGCACAAATAACCCAAACTAGTGAAGGTGCAGAGAAAGGCAACAAGGATAATGAGCGCTATGGAGGGGCTTGTATATGAGGAGAGACTAGAGGCCAGGCCTGTTCAGCTTACAGAAGAGAGGGGGAACACGAACCGGGTTTACACTTGAGCGTGGACATAAGAAGGGTTTACAAAATACCCTTTATTATACCAATTATTATTCATATTGAGCTCAGAAACGTGTGCAAAGAGAAAGTAGATTGGGATTTCTTATTTATTCTCTCCCACAAGACCGGAGCTGGGGGTCACAGCATGCTGCGAGTAGGTAGGAAGGTTAAAACAAACACAAGGACGTTCTTTTTTCCACCCAGTGTGTCATTAAAGTGTGGGATTCATGGCCACCAGATGCCGTGAGCTGAGCCAGAGCCAAGAAGGGACTGGACACGTTCTTGGAGGAAAGGGGCATCAGTCGGTATTGAACCGGGGAGCAAGGGGCACAGCCTCTGCATCAGAGCTTCCTAGACCTGCAGTGCTGCAGGCTGAAAGTGGGACAGAAACAATGGAGAAAACCCTGCTCAGACCCAGTTCACCCTCCCTTTCAGCATCCAATCTTGGCCCATATGGCACAGGAGACTGGGCATGCCGGGCATATGGTCTGACCCAGTGAACGGCACTTCTGCTCTTATGATCGAATGGCAGCAGCCGTCCCTGGAGCAGGGACACGGCCCCGTAGGACATTGGGTCAGCGCTCCTGCCTCTCATCTACCGCACAGCCCAGTTTTGTGCCTAGTCTAAACCACCTCTGTTCCCTGCTGTTGGGAACGGGGCTTGGTGACCTTCAAGGGTGTTTGGGGGGTGTCCCACCTGGCCGGACGCGGCCGTGGCACAGAGCAAGGCTTACCCTGGTGAGATGCATGCCACAGCTGCCTCCCTTGTGTCGCGCGCGAGGGGTTTGCATGGCAGGAACTTCATCCCCGTGCGTTTCCTCGTGGCTGGCAGGATCTGAGAGAGGGCCCTGGGAAAGACGAAGGTCTGAAAGGGCTCTCTTTCCCTGTCCTACCAGGACAAAAGCTCCTATTGAAGGCAGCTGCCCCGGCGTGGTTCACCAGGGAGAGCTGCAGTTTACTGCTCGGTTTGGACAGTGCCCTAAACCAACACTGCAGCCTGAGCGCATCTGGCTCTCTTATTAGCAGCCCAGCTCGCTGCAGAGAAGAGCAGAGCCCCTTCCCTTCTCCCCCCCGCACCGCGGGCTGGTCTTTTAAAGGAGCAAAACAACCACTGGGTTTGAAATGAATCCAAAAGTTTATTTCAAACAAGTACATTAATCACGTGGGATGAGAGTGCGCACGTCACGAGTTCAAGTTTCCCTGTTTAAATAAAAAAAAGAGGAAAAAACCCTGACACTTACCCTCCCCTCCCCGCCCCCCCAAACAAATCACTTCTTTTGTCGAAGATGGGCGGCCTATCCGATGGTGATGATGTTGTGTGCACGGAGCAACTCACCGCTGCCCTGAACAAAGAGTGCAGGGAAAAATAAGTCACATGCCAGTACTCGATTTTTTTTTTTTAACAAAAAGAAACCCCACAACAGCCTTCAGTAAGCGCCTACCATGTTGAGAATACAAAGTCACTGGATTTTTCAATAGGGAGATACAAATTTTAGTGCATACGGGGGGAGAATTTCCTGGTAGATAATCTGTACCTATAAAAACGAGGGCAGTGGTGGCCAACCTGTGGCCCGGGCAGCTTCTGTGTTAGGACACATGCCAGATCGGGCAGAGAGCAAAGCATCAGCTCGGGCAGGGAGCACAGGACAGGGAGCAGAAAGCAGAGCAGCAGATCGGGCAGGGGAAGAGGAGCAGCGTGGCACTTGGGGTGGCTGCAGGGCTTCATCTGGGGCATGCCTGCCAAAGAGGTTAGCCCCCGCACTGCACTAGGGACAGACTTTCTGGCTGCCTGCCCAGCTCGCTATTAAAAAAAAAAGAGAAAAGAAAACCAAAGCTTCCAACTCAATCAAGAACATCTCAAAGGAAGGTTTCAGAGTCATTTAAAATCTCATACACATTTCATGCAGTGGGTTGTTTTCTTTTTAAGCCGTAAAATATGCCGGTCATTAAAAAGTTATGACGAGCTCCTTCATTACGGGCTTGGAGTACTGGAAGGGCATTAGTGAGACATTAGGGGCCTTGAGTGCTTCGGCTGTGCTTCACTGTCAGTTATAGAAGATTTCAGAATTAAAAAAAAAGAACGGTTACAATATATTTACACTTTAACACCACGAGTGAAACCAGCTGTAGAGTTATTCACTGTTCAACTGTTTCTAGAGGAACCTAAGCTACTCGGGAATGCAGTATAAAGATGGAAATATGGGTTCTTTTATCGAAAGCTACCAGGGGAAGTCTGACATCATTTAGCTAATCGCTGAATTGTACAAATATTCCCGGATGCCAAAAAAAACAGAGTCCAGTGTTAGAATAACCAGTCTTCTATACAGAAAAGACTCTGTCTGTACAGAAGGCTATAAGAGTATGAAAAGTTAGCAAAAAATGCACTTTGTATCGGGCTATAAAGATTTGCAGAAAGGTACCTAAAAGACTATTGCCCTTTGAAATAAAAAAAGAGTTTTCATTCACACCTGATTTGGAACTGCTGTTTAACAGGGTTGCCATCGATCCTGCTCCGTCCTAAAGTCTACCTGCGGGCTTGCGGATCCCGTGGGGAAATGCCTCGAGAGCCTGGCGTCGCACGACACGCAAGGACTACGGCACCAAATGAAAAGCACAGCCTTGCAAACCTCGTCTCTGTTCCGCTCAGCGTCGAGGCGGGTTGACATCAGGCCACGATGCATTTTTTAGCAGCGGAGAGACTCCGAACAAGGTAAAGATGCATCTGTTTTGATCCCTTCGATATTTAAGCAGACCTCCAACTGAAAAGTTTGGCCTGGATGTGTCCAGATCGCTAAGCTAAATAGAGTGATCTTATTGAGTTGTCTGCCTTTTCTATGCTCCTAAAATGATCATCTCCAGATCCAGCGGGAAGGAGGGCTGGAAGGGATGTCACGCGGTCATCTAGTCCAGCCCCCGGCTCAAGGAAGGATCATCCCTGACTCGACCATTCCCACCAAGTGTCCAACCTGATCTTGAAAGCGTCCCCAGTTGGAGATCCCACAACCTCCCTGGACAGCCTGTCCCAGTGCTTGCCCACCCTCAGAGTCAGAAAGCTGCTCATCTCCAGCCTCAGTTTCCCCTGTTGCAGCCCGAGTCCATTGCTCAGAGCCCGGTCCCTGACGGGCACACAGAAAACTCTCATTTCCATCCTCTCTCATTGCCCTTCAGGTATTAGAAAGCTGTTATCAAATTCCCCCCTCAGCTTTTTGATCACCAGACTAACTAATCCTAGCTCTTGCAGCTTTTTCTGATAAGTTTGGCTTTCCAGGCCACGGTTGTTGCTCTTTCCACCCTCCCCGAAGTGGACAGTAAGGGTCCCCGAAGTGGACAGCTCAAAAGTGGACACGGTGCTCCAGGGGAGGTCTGACCGGTGCAGACAGGACCCTTATTTTCCTAACGCTCCTACCAATGCCAGGCGGCAGATCAACAGCACTGGGCGCTGCTGCCGTCCCATCAGTCTGACCTCTTTGATTTGCAAGGTGCACCTGCCAGAGAAGGGAGCCCCATCTCCTTTGGATGCCTGGCTAGCCGTGTCCCCGTAACAGCGGGGATCGCGAAGCCTACCACTGTGCATGCATCTGCTTAGGTGTTACAGATGTGCATACATCTGGATTAAGTGGTAAAGCAACAACCGAAGAAGGCGGAGACCATGCAGAAAGTGCTGCCTGGAGAAGAAGCGCGCAAGCGACTACACTGCCACGTTAAATGTCCGAATTTGGCCACTTGGGACGAAACCGGCCCCCGGTCAAGGCTTTTCTCACTCTTCTCCCATTCACCCGCTTCCTTCCCATCTGCACGCTGCTGTTGTTTGAAGACAGACTGCGGGGGCCTGTATGTTGCTAGCAACATTCTCTGAATAATCCCTGGGGGAGGAAGGAAAATAGTCGCGCAGATGAGGCGGCAGAGGGAGTTGTGCCAACAGATCGGGGGAAAGAGAGACTCGCGGAGGACAACACAACGGCAGCCGAGAACCGCGCGCGGGCGGGCGGGCGGGCAAGCTCCCAATGCTGTCCATCTGCGGCCCGCTCTACGAAGCTGCGCTCGGTCCTGCTCACCAGCCTGCCTGCTGCCGCGCAGGGTGCGCCGGCTCTGCGAGGAGACGCCGCCGGGGAAGATTCACCTGGACCCTGCGATACAGGAGCCGAGAAACAGGTAAAAGGCAACAGGTGGAGAGGTGCGGGAGAAAGGGAAGGAGTGGAGAAACCCAGTCAAAATAAGACGTGCCCTTGGCAGCGGGATCTGCTCGACTCCGGGGATCCTACACTATACTGAAGTCAGGACTGAGCTTCAGAATCGCTGGCAACCCTATTATAACACAAGAGGTATTTCAGGCATGGCTAAGGCATCACTGTAGTCTTGTCTTTGCTTTCAGGACCTCCTCTGGTTTTCTCTCTACAGCTTCTTCCACCAGCACGTGGCACCAAGCAATAGAAAACTCTACGTGGAGGGAACCTAGGGAATATCTTCATGCACTACGACCTGCGAGTAGTCACAAAAACATGAAGCACCGATCACAACACACAATTTACTTTTACTTGCAAAATGGAAGCTACCATATACAAATGTTAGACCTGTGGTAATATAGTTTGCTAGGAACACATAGACAGCCAGCATTTATACCGCAAAGTGGGAAGTAACATTGGCTACGGCCTTGCTAAACTCCTCCATTTAATTCTTTTTTTTTTTTTTCAATTTTGGAAAGCAGTCATAAATCCAGTTCCAGTCTATCTCTGTGCTATTCTAATGGGGGGGAAAAAAAGGAACAAAAGAGAAAAGCACAAGAACGTACGTTAAGTAGCATCGTAGTCATCTAGGCGGCTGCTATATATATTGGACAATTCAACTTAAATAAAAACACTTGCAAAAAAATGAACAAAAATATAGTCATTCTGATACGGTTATACACGTCCCTAGCATTGAATTTGCTCTGCACAACTGTCTCCTTTTTTTTTTTTTTTTTTCAAATATGGAACAAACAACTATTTTTGTGAGCAGAAAAGTGACACAAATTGAATCTTTATATTTTTTCCCCCTCTCTAGGCATCTCTGCAGACTTCAGATCTGTAGCCTCACGATGTAGGTCATCTTGTTCCCCAAAAAGGTGGCCAGTTTCTTTAAACACACACATCTCTGTAGCTTCCGGGACTCTTTTTTTTAATTATTATTATGTAATTCTGTGGACTGGAAAGTTGTCCACGTTGCTAAAAACTCTACATCAGTGTTCAGGGTGCCCGAGGCTCGGCAGGCTCCTGGAGGGTTTACAGGATTGCACAGAAGAACTTCTTCTCTCTAAAGGGGTTTTCTGAAGCCGGGACAGGAGTCAATAGAGGGTCTTCCTTGGCGTGAGCTTCGCAGTATGCCATCAAGTCTGCTGCTGCTTTGGATACCTGCAAGCAAGCCCAGACACAAGCCAAGGCTTGGATTAGCTGCATGACTTCTTTCTCAGAGAGAGCGAGGAGCAGAAACAGCTTGCTGCGCTGCGGGGGACGCGGAAACACTGATCCACATCCCCCTGCGTGCGCCACAACGCTCCCAGCCCCGTAGCATGGTCACGGGGCCCCGATGTCCCTCCCGGGACTGCCTGGAGCCTGGCCTGCTCCCGAGCTAATGCTAGCTGTTTCCAAAGCACAAAGCGCTTGGTTTTTCTATAGCGGGCCGTCTCTAGTCTACCTGCGGCAAAGGATTCCCAGTTGCAGTGTACTGCATTGAGGAGGTGAATACCCGGGATCTAGCAAATCTTACTCAGGCTGCACGTCAGTGAAGTCTGCCCGAGGACAGACCTTGAACCTGGTCATGGATTATAAGTGCGAATGTGTGCGTGCGCACCTGCACGCCTCTTGTGCAGCGGTCACCGCCCTCCGCTGCTTCCCCCACAACACGGACGACCGGCCTTGGTCATGCTTGGGGTGCCTCTATTGCAAGGGCTGCAGGGAGGAAGCCCAAGGGGATGCAGCACTTCAATGGGAGAGCTGAATGCTGTCCCGCTGCCAAGGGGTTGAAACGCCTCGACGACCAGGCAGCGATTTGCCAGGCTGAGCATCGTTTCAGGAGGCAGGTCCTTGCCGGGGCCTCGCAGCACGTTAGCTGCCTCCTCCTTGCTACATGTGCCCCCGATGCCACCTCTTCCTGGACACTGCACCCCCTGCCCCTTTTGGTCTAAGCTTCACATACGTGTGCCCAAGCGTCCTGTGGCCTGGCTCTTTTCCCCTGCTAGACCTCGTCTCCTCTCCTCCCCTTTTGACTGGTTACCTTTCATCTTCCCCAGCTGGGTTAGCGAAACAGCCGCCAAGAAGTCCCAGAAGCCGGGGGTCCTGTTGCAAAGCCAATCCCCCTCCAACCCTCTCCGAGCAGAGATTCAGGGGACTGTAGGGTTGGAAAGGACCTCGGGGGTCACTTGCTTCGACTCCCTCTCCCTGACGAAACGGTGCTGAGCTCGGGCGTCTTTCAAGAGTCTGACGAGACCAGGAGGACGCCAGCAAAGACCTGTTGGACCGTGACCTGCAGACCTCTGTTTTACGCTCACTACAAACCTAAAGGGCACTTTTGCTTTAGCAGCTTTGATGCGCCGCGCATATAAATCAGGGCCTTCCCGCTCCCAAACCCCAAGTCGTGCACGTCTGCATCAAGCGTACAGAACGCAGCGCTGATTTCTTTTGCTCTTAAGGTAGTTCTCATTTGCATCGCTTTCAGGCAACGCAGCCTTTTTTTCCGACCAGGCAGCCTTGCCTTTCAGTGCCTCTAAACATCCAACTAGAGTCTATTAGCATTCGATTTTGAGAGAAAACCAATGCGATGTGAAGTCTATTTTTACTGTTTGGTTCCAGGCAGGTACTGGGTGTCGACGAAACAGCCCTCCCCTGATTTCATCTCACCCAAGGCACCGGCGTTGTGCGGGGCAGACGGGATGGCAAAGAGCTCGCAGTCGTAAATGCTACACTGCTTGCTACAGGCATAACGGAGGATGCAAGCACATGCTAGGAGGGGCAGTCATCTTTATGCCCTCCCCAGTCGTGCCCGTGGAGATTCGGAGTTCCCATAGTAACCGATGTTTGCTGTATACAGTCAGTGATCTCACCATCTCTGATTAACATGGATCTGGCTCAGCAGAAGCTCCTGGAGATGTGGACATTTCACTGGGAAATCATCTGTTTGCCTTTAGCAAGCAGAAGGCCACCCCTGACACACAGACACACACAAGCGCGTGCACACACACACACAAGTGCGTGCACACACATCCCTCTCTCAAAAGGCTCGGATACTGGGTGCCACTTTCTGAACTAATGACAGCCTGCTGTGTGTGTGTACACACACACACACACACACACACACACATATACATATACACACACATATACATATACACACACATGCACATCCATCCATCCATCTGTATACATATACATACATACACACACATGTATATACATATACATATATACATATACACACATGCACATCTATCCATGTATTTACACACACACACACACACACGCACATCCATCCATCCATCTATATACAGATATATATACACACATATATACATACACACACACAAACATCCATCCATGTATATACAGATACATATATATATACATACACACATGCACATCCATCCATCCATCTACAGACATATACACACATACACATCTATCCATCCATGTATATACAGATATATATATATATATATACACACACATATATACATACACACACATGCACATCCATCCATGTATATACAGATACATATATATATATATACACATACACACTTGCACATCCATCCATCCATCCATCCTTTCTTTCTTTCTTTCTTTCTCACTAATCTACAAAAGTGCATTGCTACCCTGCCTTCTGATTAACTTCAGACTCATACTACCTCTCTCCCACCTCAACCTGGGATAGATCAGTTATATTAATCCAGGGGGACAAGTTCTTAGATGCCTGAGCAGCGCATGAAAAGGAAATAGGTAATTGCACAAACCATTCGAGTTCCTGACCAGCAAGAAAACCCGTGCCTGCCCAAATTTCTGTTTGGGGCATGCAGCCACTTGTTTGTGAAGGCATGCACTCCCTGCTCCCGTACAGACTTGCAGGTATGACACAGGCACCCAGATGAGAACATTTGCCTTTAAAGAGAGAAAGAGGCCCTCCATAGCCACAACTGCAATCACTGTTTGCAGTAGCATTCATATTAGCCAGCAGCTTTCTAGGCATTCAGGCAGGGGCAGCTCATTCCCAGAGGAGCTCCTAGATTAGAAACAGAGCTTGCAAGTGCTGGAGGGGCAGGGGCAGGACTGTACCCACTCAGCACAGCTCGGCCGAACAATGTAGGGTCTCATTATTCCAGCCTGAGACCCAGGCTTTTTAAAAGCTGGAAAGTGTAAACAGCCACAAAGAAGAAAATTACCTCCTAGAAAGGACCAGCCTTTCAATTGAGAAGGAAAATGCTGATTTCTGTTTGCGGTCGCGCTCTCAGTTGGATAAGGCATGGAGCGCAATTTCACGCATTAGACCCCGTTATGAGGAGAGCACAGTTTTGAGTGGCTGCAATCAGTTAGCTGCTCACATGCATTAACCTTCAAACAACACCCACGCAGCCTGAAAAAAAATCCCTTCCCATTTCCCAAAAGGCCATGCAAGGAGGGTTGCTTTCGCCAAGTGTTGTCGAGCCCCGGTGTTTGTCTGTGATCACACCAGCCACCCTGCCGTCACCAGTATGGAAAGCAAGGCAAGTGTCTACTGACTTCACAGATCTGAAGACCAAAAGAGAAAGGCTGATTTCCTATATAAAATCACTGGCATGGATTTCACCGGGCAATTCCTGTGTCTAGCCCCGGGTGCATCTTTGAGAAAGATGATCCATCTAGAGGTAAGGACCAGCAGCGCTAGAGAGCTTGCAACATCCCTTCCTGATCTTCCCCAATGGGTGGCCACCCATTACCGGGTGTTTTTCGTCACAGTAGGACTCCAGTGAAGTCAGAGAATCAACCCTGTGATACACACAGCTTATTTCAGCTGCCAACCACTGGGTCGTGTTTGGGCTTCGGCTGGTAGATCAGACCTCTTTTCCCTGGGCGAGGAACTGCCGACCACCACCGAGTGGTCTTTCTAATCTTTCCCTCTATAACCAAATAGACTGAGCCATTAAGTTTGCAAAACATCCCATATGCCAGATTTATAGCCTGTGTTTTCCAAGGGGTCAAACCACAGGAGCAGAACAGCCCTACTTGGCCTTCAAATCTGCACCCAATCGTGCAAAGGCCCAGAACAGGCAAATTAAATACCTTGGGCCGAGCGTTACCTTTATTCTGTCGATGTTGGCCTCCATCTTCAGCTGTTCCACCAGTTTCCTGGCTTGCGCTATGCTGGCGGTGTTGTTGCTAGCCATCTGAGGCAGGGCTGCGCTCGTCAGACGTGCTGCGGAAACAAAGTGAATTAAGCAAGCGCACTGGGGAATTCAACGGGATCAGCTGCGTGTTCCTCAGGGCCACGAAATCTAATAAAGGTTGCTGCAATTAACCCAGGTGGCAACGCCTCAGCCGAGTTGGAGATGGCCTCAATCAACTTTTGTGTGATTAAACAGCCTCGGCAAGATACAAACCCGCATGTAGTATCGGCGCTGCAATCCTGACGATTGCTTGCAATCCTGACCCCAGGTAGAAGGAAGGAAAAAGGGTCCCAGGGTCAGAAACACTATCCCAGCGGGACAAGAGCAATGGTTTGAGACCTTTAGAAATACATGCAGCGAGGCCTCTGGCATACAGGCCGTGAGACTGGGCGTTTTTCACAGAGGACTTCAGGGAAGTCAGCGAATCACACAGAAATAGGGCTGGAAGAGACTTCTGGAGTCATCCAGTCCAACCCCTGCTCAAGGCAGGACCATCCCTGCCTACAAACCATCCCCAGACGAGTGTTTGTCTAACTTAGGGGTGGGCAATTATTTCAAGCAGATTGCATCTTACTGAGTTTGGCAAGCCATCGAGGGTCGCATGACAGGCAGCCAGGGGTAAATAAATATTAATTTTCTTAATTTTTTAGGGGCCCCGCTGGCTGGATAGAACGGCCTGGCGGGTTGCATCTGGCCCGCGGGCCGCATTTTGCCCACCCCTGCTGTAACCTGTTCATAACTGGTTATGAACAACCGTTGCGTGCAGCTCCCAGGCACAATGCCCCAAGGCACCAAGGACACCCTAACCTGTCACAGGTAACGCAGAGGGATGAGGGGAACGACATCAAGCCTTGTTTAAAAAAAAAAGAGGGGCAAAAAGATCAGGCTCACAGTTTGCTTCCTTACATTCAGTGTCTGGGGTTGAAGGGAGAGGGGCCTGCCCTGAGTTTTTTGCAACTCTTACTGCACATAGTCACCAGGGCTATAAGTATCAGGGTGTCCTCAGTGGGGGCCAACCTTTTTGCAAAAATTACCCCTACCCCTGAGTGCCACTCCGGTGCCCTTCCCCTAGCCAATCTGCTGCTCTGCTTTCTACTTCCCCCGTTTTGCTCCCTGCCCAATCTGCTGCTCTGCTTTCCGCTCCCTGCCCTACCTTGCGGCTGCGCTGCCTGCGCCCTCTCCGGTCTGCTGTGTGCAACGTGGAGGCTGCCTGTGCACCCGTGCTGCCGGCTGGGCGCCCTGCCCCAGACCCTGCTACGCTTCGCTTAGCTATAACAAGTGCCAGGATCCTGTTCATTTGGCCGAGACGGCTGGCTTCAGAACAACAACGCTGTCACCAGCTTGCTTCGGCATTTGGGGTGTGAGCTAGCTGGCTTCCGACGAGCGGCTCGGTCACTCTCTCGTTAGGATTTTAATTTCCAGGTGGGGATGACAGAGAACGAGAGAGAGCGAGCAAGCAAGCGAGAGATCATGGCTACTGCAGAGGAATTTTCTCCGCTGCTCCCTTTCCAATCAAAAGACTTGACACTATAATTACGGTCAGAGTGGGAACAAGCTTTTCCTCTAGCCTTTAAACAAATGGCACCGACTTAAACCCCCCCCACAAACCCCTTTCGGTTCCAGTATTAGGCCACAGTGGACAGATGCTTTCAGCAAGTTCCCTGCTCCGCTCCTCGGGGGGTCTTTCATGCTAGTGTCAGTCAACCTAGGCTCGTTACGCCGGCCCTCCGACGCCGAGGCCGATCACAATGCTTGGGAGGGAACGTGCCCCCGGGAATGCGAGCATCCAGTTATAAACAGGCCGATTTCTACGGGCAGAGGCCGTGCCCTTGCCCAGGGACGCGTTAACAAAGCGACCAGTGAGCGGCTCAATGCAAAACAGGATACGGGAGCTTCCTGTTTCTTTAGACGCTTCTACAAAGAGGCAAGCTGCCGGTGTGCGTTTGGTTACCCGCTCGACTCGGTCTCCAGGAGACTTTCGAGTGCTGCCAGGCTCAGTCAACAGTGGGCAGAAAGACACGGCGCCCGTATCCTCCAGCAAGAGCCTCGCTGAAGCCCGCTTAGCACTTGTCAAGGGAGGAGATATAACCTGGTGCAGGGCGCTTTCAGCGTAAGCGTGCCATGCCACCAGCGTCTCATTTTGCTGGTGACTAGGCAGGAAGAAGGGGAGATGCACCTTCCCCTTGGCCTTGGGGATGCAGCTGTTGTGTCCTCACTTCCTCCATCCCTGGCTTTCCCCGCAGACGCCGTCCTCGGGAGGCTGGAGCAGTACTTCCCCCATGACAGGTTGCAAGCTCCGGGGAGGCCCGGATTCCCTCGAGCCCACGGTTAACGGGGGGGTAGGTGCCGCAGCTGGTCCCCACTGCATTTCCTTTTCCCCACAGAAGCTAAACCAGGGCGCTTCGGGTTAGCGACTGCCCCAGGCACAAAGAGAGCTGCCCCAGAGCAGCTGAGAGGCAGACGTGTCCCAGCCCCCGTCCAATGCAGGTGCACGGACCGTTACCCCCAAAGGGGGTTGCAAAAGATGCTCCGTCTAAGTCGGGTCGTGACAGGAGCCAAGTGGGAATCCCAAGGCTCGAGGGAAGTCGCTCTCTGCTCAGGCTATGACTGGCTGTCCCCGTGGCTTTTCTTTGCAGGCAAACAGAGGAATTTCCTGCCAACAGTGCACCCCAGGGTGTCTCAAACTGGGTGCTGACAGCACCCCGGTTTCAAGAGCGCCAATGCCTGGGGGAGCTTGAGTCGTAGAGAAGTAAGGCTGGAAGGGACCTCAAGAGATCATCTAGCCCAAGCAGGGAATCAAACCTGCAACCTTGGTGTCATGAGCACCATGCGCTAACTAAGCTAAACGGCTGCTCCTTCAACCATTCATTCAAGGACTCAACTCAGGACCTAGGCAGCAGTATGAGGCCGCTGCCAGGCCAAGACTAGCTTGAAATAGCCAGCTATGAAGGAAGGCAAAGAAAACTTGACCCATGGTGTGATGCTTTCGCCACGGAGCACCCCCTGGGAAGCCTTCCTGGTCCCCGCACCACGGCCAGGTGATCGGTTGTACTTACAATTCAGTGACAAAGCGGGTGATGCCCAAGAGTCTTTTCAGCAATTTGCTTGTCGAGTGGGAGTGGGTCACCTGCCAATCGTCAACAGTCGCTGCCTTCAAGGGAGGGAAAGAGAAGGGGAGAGAGGAGGAAACGGTGTTAGACCAGCGCCATGTCAGCACGGGTGTCACTGAATGAATGCACGGGGAATTTTGCATGCGGTATGAGGAAATGAGTGTGTCTGGCAGGGGAGGGCAGCCTGAAGCGGCAGTGCTCAAGGATGGGTAGTACAGCAGGGTTTCATTAGGATCACAGAACAAGGGGGTTGGACGGGACCTCTGGGTCATCCAGGCCAACCCCCTGCTGCAGGCGGGACTAGCCCCAGCTACATCATCCCAGCCAAGCCTTTGTTTAGCCGGGTCTCCAACACCTCCAAGGATGGAGATGCCACCACCTCTCTGGGGAGCCTGTTGCAGCGCTTTACTACCCTCCTAGTGAGAGTGTTTTCTAACATGTAACCTCCGCTTCCTTTGCTGCAACTTGAGCCCATTGCTCCTTGTCCTGTCATCAAAGAAACCACCAAAGAACTGCGGCGATGAGGCCTGTTTTTGCTCTGGTCCGTTCCTCCATGCAGAAACGGAGGGGGCTAGATCAGAGGTTTGCAGATGTTGCAGGGGTACCAACAAGCCCCCAGTTCTCACTTAGCCATGCATGGTTTAACCATCCCCTGTTACGAGCGACTAGTCCCATGCGGCATTCAAATCCCCTCCCCTGGGAGGGCAGTTACATCCTCCTGCACCATCCGTGCAAGACTGGTGAAGTCACTGGGGTGGGGAGCTGCTGCAAAAGGAGACCCGAAACCCGCGGTTCAGACGATGGAGCGCTCTCATTCTGCGCCCATTCATTCTCTGCCGCGGGCACGACGCAGCCAAGGGAGCAAGCAGGACTGGCCTCGGGTGGGAGAGCCAGCCTGACTCACCGCTCCTTCCTACGGCCACCCCAAACTCCTGCCGTTCAAACCACGTTGCCTGTAGCAACTCATCACACATCCTGTGTTGTATCAACATACCCCCAAGTTTGTGCGTGCACACACGCACTTCTTTAGCAACACGAGACAGAGATCTGACCTCCGGCACATCTTCAACATGTCCTATATATACCTACAGGAGCTGCTGGCTTTCTCTCCAACAATTTGCCAAGGTTTTTGGGAGGTTCTTGAAGAAGCTCTTGAAGACCTTGAAGAGGTGCTTGGGGAAATAAGCCTTCTACATACAAACGCACTCACAGCTTTACCCTTTCGGCGCTTACCTGCTCACGGAGTAAGAACTGCTCACTATCCGTCTCCTTTGCAGGTTTAGGACCCAATGTCAAGAGTGGCTGACGTGCCGGAAGGCATCCTCACTGCCGCCGAGACGCTCCACGGCGCAGAAGCCATTGTTCGTTCTGGCTAAACTATGCTGCTGCTTTGTGGTTAACCAAGAGCGGCTGCGATTGGAGAACGGCACCAGCACGAATCAGAGGGGAAGTAGCCAGCTTTCCTCTTTGCCTCCCTGTACGTTCATGCAACCTTTAGACTCTCCTCTAAAACCCGCCTGCTGCAGGGCAGACCGCACCGGGCAAAGGACGAGTTTTCACAGCGCTGTTCGGTGGCTGGACCCGGGCTTGTTTAGGACATTCAACGCTGCCTGGTGCGTGCCTGTAGCTGCAGCTTCATTAGGAGAAGCTCTTTACAGCTCCGTTAGTGCTCGTCAGCTGTGCTAGTATTTGAAGGTTGCATTCCCCGCTTGGAGGCATCAGCGTGGTGGGGGGCGTGATGTCTGTCTATCCGGTGGAGTAGGATTTGTATCTTGATTGGTTTTTGAATTACAGCGGTGCCTAGAGGCCCCAGGGACTGGCTCCCTTTAATGTTTGTGGGACGAACACCTAGCAGGAGGCAGTTCCTGACCAGGAGAATTTGCTGTCCAAAAACCCAAGATAGGCAAGAGGAGAGGAAGAGGCACAGAGGCAGCAAGGGATGTGACCAAGGGCACCCACCTGGTCTGTGTCAGAGCAGAAGCCTAGCTGGCTGACTCCCAGTCCAGCCCCCTAGCCACTAGGCTACACGACCTACCGATCGCACCGCGCTGCTCAGCAGACGAGTGCTAACGCATACGCAGGCAGGGCATCGCTGAATGAAATGCTTCTGGCAGGGACCCAAGGCAGCTTCAGAGGCACTTCCGCATGCTTGTGGGATCAGGGCTTCACCCCATGGACAGAAGCTCTCTGCAGCCGTGAGCTTCCTTGCTCACAGGAATGCTTTTGCAAAGTTTTGACACTGTTCATCCAGACCCCTTTCAAGTGGTGCTCCTCGTGTTCACCAACACACGTGTCCTTGACTTGGCCTACATGCCACGCCACAAGGAATTAAATGCACTTCCCCTGCCACACAACCCTGTAACTACAGAGAACAGCACAGGGGGGACGCAACACTGCCGCAGGACTACAAAGGACAGCTTAAAACAGCAAACCAGCAGACTAGTGCCCGTGTCTGAGCTGCCTTCAAGTTAGGAAGAAGTGTGTGTGCATGTGCGTGTGCATATGTGTGTGCATGTGGGGGGGGGTGCATGTGCAGGGATGGAGGAAGGAAGGGAAGGAAACAAGTGCATCTCTTCCACCTCTTGGGGAGACCCGCTCCGTTCCTCTCGCTCACACAAGGATCCCAGTGGCTCAGACTCTCACAAGCTGCTCACTCATCCCCTCCGAGGCAACATGTCCTCCTTGCCAGGGCAACCTCCTCCCTTTCTATCCAGGTCCCTTCTGGCAGGTCCCACCAAGCCGAGTCCTTGTTTCAGGCCAGCTCAACAACCCCTTGCTGCCCAGGCCATCTACCTGCGTATACCCTAACCCAGCCCAGAGCGAGGTGGGAAGAAAAGAGACTCCACCACTCCCCCTGGCAGCTTGCTCCACTGCCTTGCTGCGTACACCCTTCAGATGCTCCTCTGGAGATCTGACTTTAGCAAACGTCTCTCTCCTCATTTACTTTTTAAATTTATTTTCCCTTCCACTTCCTTCAAAAACACGCATCTGGGACACGCCGTCTGCAGCAGGATGGCGTGAAGGCCCCGCCGCTGCAAACACGCACTTCCGTGCCACCAGGAAGGAACCCACCGCGAGATCGGTGGGAAAGCCCAGCCTGTGGGTAAGTGCCTGCCGGTCAAGGTAAGTGCATGCCAAAGTGTTTGCAGGCCTGGGGCCTCTGGTTGCAAAGCGGATCAGAGAAGGGCACGGGGGTTGGACCCGACGATCTCACGAGGTACCTTCCGGCCCTAAACTTCTGTGAATCTGCAAATTCTGGGACCAGACAAGCGATGTTTTCCACTCAGCTGCATTGCATATTTACTCCTTTTTCTCCCCTTTCTGAATATGCCGCTACTGATAAGTTGCTACGAGACACTTGACTTTTGCCCTTCCTTATTGATTTCCTTAAGAGGAAAACAGCAGTACACAGCCAGACTCTGCTGCTGTGCCTCTCCCACTGGAGTCAGCTTCGTCACCCAAGGGTAAGATGAGTAGAGTCTGACTTGTAGGAGGCATTCCCCCCGCCTGTCCTCTTCTGTCTGATGGAAATCAGAGTTCAGATGAGGAGGAAAAAAATAAAAGAGTGTGATCAAGAAAGATCCTTTTGTGTAGTGTGCAAGAGCTGTTCAGGACTGCGTGAATGCCGTTTCTGATTTGATGGCACGTCAAAAGTCCTTGCCTTCAATCTGAAGCTCTCCTCCCCACTTCCAGCTGTCCGCCCCCAACCACTCCTCTTGCGATGCGGTTTGTCCATGATGTGCCGAGGCAGATAAGCCGCAGGGAGAGATTGCCACTGCCCGGCAGGGAGAAGCAGTCTAGCCAGAAACAGGGGGCTCACGCAGGAGGATGGCGGGTATTTTCATACCCAGGATGATGACATCTCCCGTAATGCAATGCGACAGTGCACGCAGAAGCGGGAATGAACGTAGGCGTGACACAAAACATGCTCTTTTTATTCCAAAAATCAACCTGTTCTCATGGCAAACCCGTACTTGAGCAAAACTTTGTTTTCCCAGCGGGCCAAAATCCCCCTTCCAGCCCTCACTGGAAGGGCATGGATGTCTGCTTCTGTCTGGACACAACGTCCACTATTTCGGATGCAAACGTATTTCTAGGACCCCGATCATGTATATTTTTCATGGTGGTTTTCTATTCCTGATCCAACTTACGGGGTGTGTGGAAGGAGCGGGGTTAACAAATATAACACTCAGTAGACGTGTACTTCTGCGAGGCCCTTTCCACCCGAAGAGCATGGGAGGGAAGACGGGCCACTAGTCAGGTGGAGAAACTCCACCTAACACAGACGCTGGCTTTCTCTCCGATCAAACCTTTCCTGGAGATAGAGGACATTTATATTTTAGCATCATTATACAATGCACTGCTAGTCCAACCTCATCCCAAGGACACTGAAGGCATCCGAAATGATGTTGCTCCTTGTGGGGAAACCCTGGGCGGCCCACATGTCCTTCTGCAGCAGGGGCTACCGCTTTGCTGAGGACTTGGGCAAGCCACTGCCCGTGGGTCTGACCCACTTAGCTACTAGGATGTCTCTGTGCAAGGGTCAGCCCCTGGCCAGCAATGGAGACAGAAGCAGAGCTCGAGCTGTGTGGATGCCCAGTTGTGTCCCTGCAGCCTGCTTTGCTCAATAACCCCCTCCTGGTTTAAATGCATGATGACACCATGCAGCCTCCTGAGAGGAGTCTGGGATAGTGGAAGACCCTCTGGCTCAGTCCTGAGTGCTTGCCCGTGGGGAACTGCCAGACACGGCCCAATGACTGACACCCCATGCAGAATCTGGGACCCGATGCCCACAGCACACATTGGTGCTTGCAGGTTTCCAAATGCGGGTTGTAGACCACCCGCCATGCTTAGAGGCCAACCTGGAAGTTAAAGACGTCAGGCTGGAAGGGACCTCCAGAGGTTGTCTTGTCCATCCTTCTGCTGGAGGCAGGGAGCTGGACTAGATAACCGCCTCGTGCTAAATGGACAACACATGGCCCGTGTCAGCCACCCATTCACCAACACCCAACGTCCTCCCGCTCTCCTCAGCTCCGGATGG